CCCCCCCCCAATATTTGCGTGATAATAAGAAGGGCCGGTTTGGCTCAGCGGTAAGCTCACTTGCCGTGGGATCTGAGATCGTAGGTTCGAATCAGCCTCTCTGCATAAAAAGCAGGGGTAAGGCTGTGTAGTATATTCCTTTTCCCAGCATCGCCACTAGGTGGGAACATGAACTGGGTTGGTCCTTTATTTGCGTGCGTGATAACAAATGACAGACAATTGACTTCTTGGTGATCGTGACCTCCCATTTACATTATTTTGTTTGGTATGTTGGGCAAGGAAGTATGTAAACAGCAGCGCTAATGTGTATAACACTATCCCTTTAATCTGTTTATATCGGCTTCTTCATAGTAACAGGGGTCTCATAGGTTTGTAGTCTTATCTTTTTCCATAGTTTTTCTGTCTTTTCCAATGATTGCATCAAGACAATTCATGATTGCAGCCTGTACAATAACATGCGCCATCCAAGCAAATTGATCCAGGGGGCGGATGTTTACTGTTTCAAACACAAGATCGAACCCAAATGGGAGGACCCTATCTGTGCGAACGGAGGGAAGTGGACCATGAACTTCCATAAGGGAAAGTCTGATACGTGTTGGCTCTACACTGTACGGTTTTATTCTTACTTATACGAACCCTAGTTCTCTCTTGAGGTAGAGTGTATGGATCTTAACTGACTAAGCATGTGGTGGTTGCATGCAGTTGCTCGCTTTGATAGGAGAACAGTTTGATCATGGGGATGAAATCTGTGGAGCGGTTGTCAACGTCAGAGGGAAGCAGGAAAGGATATCCATATGGACCAAGAACGCTGCCAACGAGGCTGCCCAGGTTAAAAGCATTTCTCATCACTTCTTAAGGCCATCCAAAAAAAAAAAAGGCTTCAAACCCGCTGTTCAGCTCTCAGTTTTGTTTTGTTCCTAAACTATGGCACAGGTGAGCATCGGAAGACAGTGGAAGGAGTTTCTAGACCACAATGAAAACATAGGTTTCATTATTCACGTAAGAACTAACTGTGACATAGAGATCTTTGTTTTGTGCAGTTGACAAGTGTTTTGATGATTGCTTTCGAGTTCACTGCTGGCTGTTTGGGTTTTTTTCAGGAGGATGCAAAAAAGCTCGACAGAAACGCCAAGAACGCCTACACTGCCTGAGACAACGTTACTGAACTACAACAGCCTTTGTTAGTATGAGCTCTTAGTGTTGTTCCTAGACAAATTTTATGTCAAACATTCCTGTTATCTAATTGGGTATGTTTTTGTTACCTCAAAGGTTCTTCCTTTTTTTTGTTGCTGCGGTTTTACACTTGATTGAATATTTTATTCATAAAAAGTAAAATGCTGCATGCATGATTTTTATGGAATTCGTCAAAGACAAACGGTTGTATATGCAGCCGTCGTGTGCGGTAGAGATACAATTGCACCTAAAAAATCTCTCCCTCTTCGAAGTCAACCCCCAAAACAGAGGTTTCTGATTCAAAGTCTTCGAGACAATCATCTTCTTTCATGACCAGACCGAAATTCTCGAGCAATTGATGATGAGAAATACTCGCGCCAGAGCCGAAGAGATTCTTCATCTCTCTCTCCACCCTCAGGTTGTTCTCTTCCTCAACCTTGGCCGCTTCTTCCATCTGTAGACACACAAACAATCCAAATGAGAACCCATTTTAACTTTTGTAGAAGAAGAATGAGAAAAACACCTTTTGCAGAAGAAGACGCTGTCTCTCACGCTCCATCTTCAGCTGCGTTTCCTTCCTCGTTTGCATGGCAGCCTCCGCTGCTCTGATCTCTGCCTCCATTCTAGCTTTCTCTGCATTTGTATGGAATGCCCAAGTGTTAAAAACCGTCATAAGAGACAGCAAGTTGGTGTTTCCTTTTTCACATGTGCACGTAATGATCTATACCTTCAAGTTGCATTCTTTTGAGCCGTTCTTTCTCTTTTTCTAGTTTGCTTGGATCAGCATTTTTACCCTGCAGGCATGATTCGACAAGATCCTCAGAAATACGTCTACGTCTTACCTATCAAAGACAGACTTTCAATTGGCTAATATTTTATAATTACGATAGAACAGATGTCAGGAGAAGAAGAAGATATTACGTTATCAAGAACTTTTCTTTGTTTGGCTTTCAGGATTGTGTCAGCAAATCGGCTCTTGAGTATTGCAGCACGAAGAGCCTTCTTCGGAGACAAGGGCACATCAAGAATTGTATCTGCAACCAGAAGAGAAATCTTGAGAAAACCTAACTAAACAAAAGTGTATCAAGATCCAATTCAAACTCATGAATAAGAAAGTGCTCACCTTGGTCCCATGAAACATCATTTGGAGATTTCTGAGGCTGAGAATTCTGGCAACCATTTTCCTCGTTCATTGAACTCACTGATTCTTCATTAGAAGTTACGAAATTCAAAAAACATACCGAATTAGTTAGGACTCGGTTACTACAGTAATAACAGAACATCCGATGTAAATGGCATAAAAAGGTAAAAAAGAAAGAAACATTGTCCCCTCACCACCAGATTGTGGATCTGACTTGCTATACTGTGATTCTGAAGTGCTTTTTGCCCGACAATCCTGTTACATCGAGACAATCACAATAAGTTACTTATCCAATCCATGTGACATTGACACTAAACACAAGACAGACAGGGAAACTAGTATCGATAAGCTGCAGCCTGTACATACCGTTATCGAAGACATTTCACTCCCTATATCTCCGCAGGGGCTCTCCAATGTGGTATCGAGACTGGGACAATTCTCAGATGGGGCACTGAACTTGAGGCAATTGTAACCAGTATTGCCAGATGAACCATATTGGGCAGCAGCAAAATTTGGGGCTCCATTTGCAGGATCATGTTGCCCACAACCATTGGCAACTACATTGACGTCCAAAAGATTAGCTCTGATACTAGAGCCAAATAGCAGATTAATTCTGCGACTTTGTACCTTTACTCGAGCATTTCACAATTGATCCTGTTCCAAAGTGGCCCTGATCCAGCTTCTTAAGCCCCGGCTGAAAATAACAAAGGTGTTGTAAAAATGTTAATTACCCAAACTTAGCCAGAAAACAGTATCCTTGAAATCAAATCCACAGAACATTCGATTTCTCAAGCTCAGCAAAGGGTTTTGGTCAGATATCAAACCTTTGTTGCTATGGCTGTTGGCCTGACAGAGTGAGACACCTTTTGGTCTTTCTCTTCCACCGGCTTCGACGAATGGGAAACCTTTCTGGCCTTCTCTTCCATTGACTCTGTAGACGAGATGGGAGAGCTTTCACTGAAAGCTGGGGTTTCAGATCTGCTCTGTCCCGAGCAATCAGATTCAACTTCAGTTTCCTTTGAATTGCATTTCCTCACAAGCGATTTCCATCTGAACTCAAAAAACTCATTCAACTCCTTTGCCATCTTGTGAACCATATTCTCTCGAGGATTATACAACATAGCATTGGAGAAGGTTAATCTGACATCAGCTGCAAATTCTTCTTTGCTATTGTATCCATTCTTCACAAGCTTGCATCCGATCGTACTAAAATCCATCGGCTTCGAAACGACAGAAAAGTAATCAGGAATATTCAGTTTAACAGGATCCACAGGCTCATCAAAAACCCATCCGAATTGGTGTGCCTTCATTGATTTTAGCAGCACAGAACATTGGCGAAAGACATTGCCATCCAGCTTCTGCTTCTTATTTGTCTGAAACTCATCCGGTTCCTCATGTCCATGCTTTCTCGAGCCATTATCGCTAAAGATGACTTCACCAGTTGGCTGCTCAGTTTTCTTCTCCTTATAGCTGCAGCCATTAATAATCTCCGTCTTGGGGAAAACTCTCTCAGCTCCTTGGGAACCAAACTTGATCCTCAGTTTCATAAGAGCGACCATTCTCAAGCTCCAAAAACCTGGAACAATATATAAGAGTCACAAATTAAAAAACTAACACACACACACACAAAAAAAAAAGCAGAGTTCTCCTCGACGAACTGCAAATCCAAGTCGGAGATGGCCGAAGACAGCGATTGACAGAACCCACTACTTGGCTGGAAGAAAAGAGATATTTCACAGAATTCGGAACCGTAAACTAAAATTACGGGAAAACGGTCCATTTAACAATTGAGCGAGAGATTTTCAGAATAAAATCGAACGAAATCCAGATGAAAATTGAAACCAGAGAAGGATACAAGAGAGAACACAGAGAGAGAAAGAGAACCAGTGAGACTGCGATGGGCGTGAATCGTGGAGATAAAGGGATCGGATCCCTTCGAGAATTCGCCGGCAAGAGAAAGAGAGAGGGTGAAGAAATTGAGGATCCAGGCGATCCAAAAAGACGCTGAGGTTTAGGGTTTTCAGAATTTTTAGATTTTCCTTGTTTCCCTTTTTGCCCCTCCGCGTTCGCAATTTTTTTTATATTTATTTTATTTTTTGCACTCTAATTTGTCATGATTTGACATTTTGGTAATGGTAAAAGAACTCTCTTTCTTTCCCACCCTGCGATCATACAAACGGGAAAATGGAATCGATGCCGAGGAAGCGAAGCAAATCGGAAACCAAAACCCCAAGAAGAAACCCTAATCCGTCGTCCGCTCCCATAGGCGCATCGATGGAACCACCGAAAACTCTGTTCCCTCCCAAGGAAGAGTTCGCGAGGCTCGTGGCGGTGGTGGCTATCGCGTCCGCCGTCGCGTTTGCCTGCAGTTTCCTCGCCGGGTTTCTGAGCTCTAACCCCAAACCTTTCTGCGATTACAGTTTCGATTCCATCGACTTGGACTCTGGTGAGCTTCGGATTCATCACGCTCCTCTTTTTTTTTTGGATGGCCACCGAAGATAAAAATGGCGCTTTGCCTTCTGGTTGTAATTTATCGGTAAATGTCAAAAAGGACCCGATTTTTCCAGAACTTTTAGAATTAGGGACATCATTTAGTAGTTTGTTTCGATTTAACCTAGGATTTAGTGATGTTTACCGACAAATCAGCCAACTTTAGCAATTCCAGAAGTAATCTTTGCCCAAAAGAATCCCATGGGTTGTTGCTTCAGGTCGAAAGCTTCCAGATTTTAATGGTATGGCAAAGGATTCTGGTTTTACTAGTGTTTTTACCCATATCCCTTCAAGCCCGGTGTCATCGAGAATTTGTTTTTCCTATGTCTTCTTTAGTTTTATAATTTATAATTGTAGGTCTATAACCCTTAAGTTCTTTCTTTCTTATTGCATCAGATTTGTGTGAGACTTGTCCGGAAAATGGGGAATGTTACCAAGGAAAGTTGGAATGTAAGCATGGATACAGAAAGCAAGGAAAATTATGTGTAGAAGATGGAGAACTCAATGAATCAACAAAGAAATTGGTAGTCTTGCTTTCGCGTTACTCTTCGTTCTATTAATTTACTATCTAAAAGTATCAGATAAAAGTTTTGTGTGCTTTTTTCAAATTCTTACTTGTTTCTGTTATGATCAGATGAAGAAGATTGAAAGAAAAGTTTGTGAAGCGAATGCTCATAATGAATGTTATGGTACTGGGGTCATTTGGGTATGTGCTGCTGTATCTGTAGGCCGTGGTTTTATCATTGATACGTGTTCATATTGTAATAAAGGTAAACATGGAAGTGAGCCTGTATTCTATCTATAGGTTCAGGAGAATGATATTTGGGAGGATCTGCGTGGAAATAGTGTGATGGAAAACCTAGACGAGCATGGTTACTTGTATTTGAAAGGAAAGGTAGTAGAGGCTATTGATAAGCTACTAGAGAAACGGACTGATTCTCTTGGGTATCATTTTCGTCACTTCATCTTTTGTTTTAAAGTCTTTGGAACGTCTGCAAGTTATAGTTATTTTACTTCTTATAAAATCTTGCTAAAGTTTCAGCCTTTATCTTTCCTTCTTTGTTTAGGACCAGAGAGTTGAAGTGCCCTGAGTCGCTGGTAGAATACTACAAACCTTTAACATGTCGAGTACGCCAATGGCTCTCCCGGCAAATCCTCGTTATTGTGCCTGCGTGTGCATTGGTATTCTACTCTTAGAAAAAGGCAGCTCCTTTGAGTGGTTTAGTTTTGAGTGATCAACATGTTCAAGCTTGTTCACTGTGTTGAGATGTACAGCTCTTGGGTTGCACTTTATTACATCAGAAATTTCGGCGTAAACGGTATATATCACATAGAGTTGAAGAGCTATACCATCAGGTAAATACCATTTTCATCCAGCATTTCAAGTATCAGTTTTTCCTTCACCCAGAACAAGGGTTTTGTTTATCAACTTGTTAGGTCTGCGACATCCTGGAAGAGAACGCCTTGACAGCAAAGTCTTCGGAGAGTGACTCCGAGCCTTGGGTTATCACATCACGCTTGAGAGACCATCTCCTTTGGCCCAGAGAAAGGAAAGATCCTCTGTTGTGGAGAAAGGTAATTCTTTTCGCCTTTCTCTAGCAAAATCCCTTTCCATGAATCGGCAACGACTAGTTCCCTGCTGTTTGTTAACTCCAGCTTTTCTGATTCCCATTATGTTCTTTATCTTCTAAGTATGTGTGGCTATTCTACAGGTTGAGGAGTTGATTCAGGAAGATTCACGGATAGATCGCTACCCGAAAATTGTCAAGGGGGAATCGAAAGTTGTATGGGAATGGCAGGGTATGAACCGGAATTGTGTTGCCCTCTTTTGATTTCACCCTTCTCTTTATACCTTTTAATCCATTGAAGTTAATTTCCTCATATGATCCAGTCGAAGGTTCTCTGAGCTTATCCAAGTTAAAGAAACGGCAAGAGAGACACAAATTCAGACAAAGCGACAACTCAGGCTCGATTTTGCAAGCAAATTACAACAGAAAAATCACTGGTAAGAAGCTAATGCCATTTCTTTAACTCAGTTCATTCTTGTTTTCCCAGTGAGTAGACAACCGACCAAGTCTTGACATTACCATTATCTTAATGTGGGTTTGTACTCAGAGGCAAGCTCCTAATACATTTGCAACACTCTGCAATCTTGAAGCTTGGAGCTGTTATCTTTCGAGATTACTGGTTTGGTCTCTTGAAGGTACTGACTTTTATGTATTGCTTGGATTCTGCGAGTGCAGTAAATATACCGAACAGAAATGTATTCCGAATTCTCACCGACGGCTTCCGGTCAGGGGACGACAACAGTGTGCTCCGGTACAAATTCTGGTACCGGGGGATTTATAAGTTCTGTCGGTAAACCCGATCGGTTTAGTAGGTTTAAGTTTCGGTGACCGGTAGAGAGATGGGGAGTGTCGGCTGTAAGAGTGAATGGTGCATCAACTGAGTTGATTCAACTCTCTGTCTTTCATGTTTCATTAAATATATATTAATTTAGAACTGCGAACTAACTATAAGCCATTAAATAGATAAAGAAATAAATAAATACAGTTGGGCTATACATATGTCGGGTTCTCATTCTATGACCGACGTTAGGATGGAACTGCATCTCTTTAATTACATGTGTTCTTTTTTTATTATTAATATTATTAATGTGGGAGAGAAGATTATAGTAATGGAATGATATATTTAAGTATTATAACGGAAATTAGTTCGAGTATCACTTGTTTTTCTCTCCTTGTTTTTGTCAACTTTAGGTCCACCGCCAATAGGCTCGAATGGAAGGCAGTCAGTCTCCTTTTCTCATTATTGAATTCGGTAATTTTGTGGCATTGAGATTGACATTTTTCCTTCTTTATTTTGCGATATTGATACAATTTAATTAAAATTTTAGATGCTTACTGAATAAATCTTCAGATTGATAGTAAGTAATAGCTGATAAGTTTGGCACGCACATAATCGCACTGTGGATTTACTGATCTTATGATGATAAATAAAAAAAATATCAAAATTACGATCTAAATATAATACTATATAATAAGATCTATATATATATATATTCTCCTTATTTTTATATGTATTGGTTGAAAAAAACCGACTCCTGTTGAATGAAATCAAATCTGAAATGATTATTGGAAGTCATATTTTAGCAACGCTTCCAAAGCTCTCTGCTTAAAGTGAAGCTTTTGAGTTGTGCTTGTCAGTGGGGGAGGAGCTTGAGCATAGATCTGAAGGGAAAGACTCCGAGCAACAAGATCTTCTCTCACTACATCGACGAGGTTCGTATCTCTCTCCTTTTACTTCATTTCTATCTTTGATAGTGACTTATTTCAGCGAGATCCGATGCGGGCTTTCCATTTGGGTTCATGGGGTTTCGTATGCAATGCTAAAGTTACGAACTTGCAGCTCCGTGAAGTTGGATTCTTCTGCTTAAATCTACGTCTCTTCTGCTGATGATGATTTCGTTTCTATTCGTGAAGTGGGTATTGCAGTAGAACGACAAAGGTTAGGTTTTTGCTGTTGATAAGTGAAGGGTTGTGCTGAATGAAGAGCTTTTTCTTTTGAAGATTCAGCTTTCAATCGTGATTTAGATCTTTAGTTCCGCTGGATTCCTGTTGAGTCAGCTCAACTGTTTATGTTCTGAAGATTTCGCTGCTGATGAGTACTTACACAGAAATAGGAACTATTTTTATCGATCTCGAAGTTACAAATTCCTGTTAAATTGCACTTGTGTGTGTGAACTATTTTAGACTCCTGTTGGAGATTTTTCTGCATTCGATTGCATTACATGTAGGTAGTACTACGAAGAACTACATGGAGTGTTCAATTAATCATAAGCTCTGGCTTTTCGATGCTTTCAGGAGAGTCCAGATCATGGGTTCTAAGCATAACCAACCTGGGAATAGGTCGAGGAGTTCTCTCTCCATAATCGTAGTGATAGGTTTGTGTTGTTTCTTCTACCTTCTTGGAGCATGGCAGAGGAGCGGGTTTGGCAAAGGAGACAGCATAGCAATGGAAATAACCAAGCAGGCACAGTGTACAGACATTGTCACCGATCTGGACTTTGAACCGCACCATAACACGGTGGAGATTCCTCAAACGGCTAAGCCCAGACCCATTGTGTTCAAACCTTGTGATGTGAAACACAAGGATTACACCCCTTGCCAGGAGCAAGACCGTGCGATGAAATTCCCGAGGGAGAATATGATTTACAGAGAGAGACACTGTCCACCAGAGAATGAGAAGTTGCGCTGTCTTGTCCCAGCTCCCAAAGGGTATATGACTCCATTCCCTTGGCCTAAAAGCCGGGATTACGTCCACTATGCCAATGTTCCTTTCAAGAGCTTGACAGTTGAAAAGGCCGGGCAAAACTGGGTGCAGTTTCAAGGAAATGTGTTCAAATTCCCTGGAGGAGGAACCATGTTTCCCCAGGGAGCAGATGCATATATAGACGAGCTAGCTACAGTTATCCCAATCAAAGATGGCTCCGTCAGAACTGCGTTGGACACTGGATGTGGGGTAAGACACTTATGCTGCCTGAATTGATGTGTATGCACATGTCATTGTAGCTCTCTCCGAGTCTCCAGGCATAATTCACATTTTATAGATCTTGTTTTTGGTGTAGACTTCCATTCGACATGAATCTTTTCCCCCTTTTTTGCGATAGGTTGCAAGCTGGGGTGCCTATGTACTTAAAAGGAACGTATTGGCTATGTCATTTGCACCACGGGACAACCACGAAGCACAGGTACAGTTTGCACTTGAGAGGGGTGTTCCTGCAGTTATAGGTGTCCTCGGGTCAATTCGTCTGCCATACCCTTCAAGAGCATTCGATATGGCCCAGTGCTCCCGATGCTTGATACCATGGACCTCAAATGGTTAGTATCAGTTACTCATCTTTGATCTTCTTGCCTAGGTGACACAGTGACAGCAAACAATAGAATGGGAAATAGTATAAAGTTACTGAAATTGGTGGCTTTTCAACATTTCAATTGCTTGTGCAGAGGGAATGTATTTAATGGAAGTCGATAGAGTCTTGAGACCGGGTGGGTACTGGGTCTTGTCTGGCCCTCCGATCAACTGGAAGACCTATTACCAGACTTGGAAGCGATCTAAGGAGGAACTTAATGCTGAGCAGAAGAAAATAGAGGAAATTGCAGAGTCCTTGTGCTGGGAGAAGACGTACGAGAAGGGAGACATTGCTATCTGGAGAAAGAAAACAAATGACAAGTCCTGTGATAGGACATCAGTTACTATCTGCAAGGGAAAGGACACCGACGATGTCTGGTGTGTTCTTTCAACTGTAATGTCAAAATGATCTATATACTTTGATGTAATAGTTTCTCTTAACGTTAGCACTCTCCCGCTTCATGCTCTATCACAGGTACAAGGAAATGGAAACGTGTGTAACTCCATTCCCTAAGGTATCCAGTGAAGAAGAGGTAGCAGGAGGAAAACTGAAGAAGTTTCCGGAAAGGCTGTTTGCTCTCCCTCCACGTATTGCCAAAGGTCAAGTTGAGGGTGTCGATTCTGAATCATACCAGGAGGACAACAAGCTCTGGAAGAAGCGCCTGAATACCTACAAAAGGATCAACAGACTGATAGGTACCACAAGGTACCGCAATGTGATGGACATGAACGCTGGTCTCGGTGGATTTGCAGCAGCACTCGAGTCCCCCAAGTCTTGGGTTATGAACGTTGTCCCAACCATTGCAAAGAACACGTTAGGCATTATATATGAGAGGGGTCTCATCGGCATTTATCATGACTGGTATGTTTCTCCTCCTTCTGTGACATCTTTCGCCACATTTCAACTGATTTTTCAGGGGAGGTTTGCAGCTTTTACTGTGCTAAAGCCTAAAGGTCTGACCTTTCAAAATATAAACACCGTTTCCAATGTCTTCTGGTTTATATCTGCAGGTGCGAAGGCTTCTCTACTTACCCGAGGACATATGATCTTATCCACGCCAATGGTGTCTTCAGCTTGTATCAGAACAGGTCATCCATTACTCTCATTGGTCCAAAAGATTGCCCTTTTTGCACTCAGCCATTGTTGTTCCTCATCTGCATTGTTAAAAATCGAACCTTTTTTCTTAAATCTGTCTCAAGAAAGTATTGGCCCGACATTAACCTTAAACTTCAGAAACAAGGGTCGTTTTTACTTTCTCGTAAAGCTAGAGACTTTGGAACAAAACGCAGTGATGTTCCTGAAGATCTCAGACATAACTCTCTAATGATGTTCTGCTGTGCTTGTCTCTGGTTTAATTTCCACAAACAGTTGCAAAATAGAAGACATTCTCTTGGAGATGGACCGTATTTTGCGGCCAGAAGGAATGGTGATATTCCGGGACGAGGTCGATGTTCTTAACGACGTGAGAAAGATGGCAAATGGAATGAGATGGGACACGAAACTGATGGACCATGAGGACGGTCCTCTTGTGCCAGAGAAAATCCTGGTGGCCGTCAAGCAGTACTGGGTCGCCGGCGGCGGAAACGGTACTTCCAGTGAAGAAGAATAGCCAAAACTTCACCACCTACGGTATTCATATTCCCCGTACCTTTTTTTTTTTATCCATTTCCCGGATTTGACCACAAAGTTTTGTCATTGTCAGCTGAACCCCTGAAACCTCGCTCTTTTGTTCAATTCTTCTAATTCATCATCCTTCCTCGATTGATTACAGTTCCAAAAGCCAAGGCCTTGTGATTGTGATGCAGATTAATACAAGATTAGGGTTTTTCTTGCATTTTTTCCCGAGTTTAATGCCCCTGAAATGGTGTTTGCTTTGTTTATCAGGTTATGGTGTCCACGACGTGAGTGTAGATCTATGTATCCCCAATTGACAGCCAAGTTTACTCGAAGCCAATTGAAGCAAAAAAAAAAAGTGCGGGAGAAAATCATAATTTCTATGAAAAGGAGGGGTCAAAGTCGAAATACTATAGATGATGTAAAAGAATATTTGCAACTTTTTTTGTCCCCGAGCATCTGTTTTGTTTTTTATTTTATTTTATTTTATCCTCCATAATTATTGTTGATGTTTTTGCCACGGGATAATATAGTCGAAGGCTCGAGAAAATAAATTATTTAGAAAAAAAAAATGATATGCCCCGAAATAACCTTTTTCATGTGCATTAATAATTGTAGTCCGGACTCTGAATAATAAATCGAAATCAAACAATTTATGTAGAACACGTGGTGGCGATGTTGATAATACCGGTGAAGAATTCGTGTGCATTAATTCTGCATGAAAGTGGACTTGACTATTTACTATTTTAGACAATATCTAGTGAACAAATCGGCAACCTATAGTTGTCATGGCCCGTGGACCACTCTTTGTTGTACCATATATACACATGCACACACACATATATATATAAAGTGTATATATATATGCACAAATACAGATGCATCCGTATCGTACATGAAAAAAAAATGACAGTTCCCTAAATATGTAAAAGATAAATACATAATCGAAAAGAAAATGTTTCTGACCATCCATATAAATACTTATATGTATATTTATATATAAGAAGAAAGAGACAAATTTTACTTGTATTATTGGGATGTAGAAGAGGTTGAAAGGAACGTTATTTAGAGAATAACTTTTGACAAAAAAAAAAAGCAAGAAGAATATAGAATATATCTATGTGGTGTGTATACAAGTATCGGGTGAGGAATATAGTTTGATTTTGATCGTATAATTTATAACTACGTCTTATATAAAGATAAAATTAAACTAATACGAAATTAATTTGAAGAAAATGTATGAATTTTAAAAATATAGGAAAGTTATAAAGAAAATAAAGTAAAGGAACAAAAGGTGGGGCGAAGAAATTTGTGTGGCCGAAAACAAAAGAGAAGAAGCAAGAAGTTTTGGTGAGATCCAGAGTACGGACATTCCCCTTTCACTTGCCGGTTTCGGCCGATTTACACCCACGTGTGTATTGTAGACTCGCATGCGTAGGATGGGATTAGTCTGGATTCTTGGACCGGGGAAACCCGATTTACCAAAAAAAAAAAAAAGTTTTGGTGACACCTAACAAAAAGTCGCAATACACAACACTATTTTTTATTTCAATTGTTTTTCTATTTGTTATGAAACGGACATTGATTTGGGATATCTAAATCAAATTAGAAAACAAAAAAAAAATTAAAAATAAAAACCACCAATGATCCTTCGCAGCTAAAACCGTGGGCTTTGGTAAGAACTATGTGCTGTTCTCACCTCTGTTTTTTGTTTTCTTTCGATTTTTGGCCCAACTAAATAGACTGTGACATTTTCGCCCCTATTGGCCGACCAGGGAAAAAAAACATTATATCGAATTAAATTGGAAATTCGGAAAAATGACAAAAAGAAATACGACATCCTAGAGAATTATTAGTGTTAAAAATAAATAATTTAATACGATCACCCTATAGTTAAATTTTATTATAATTCCCATATAAATCTTGTTACGCTTGTTATGCCTTTTGTCTTTTTTGAAGCCTCTATCCAAATCATTTGAAAATTCAAATGCTTTTGATTAGGTACGTAACTTATATGGACTTTTATATAAATTTTTATTGACTTCGCAAAATCTAATAAGAAAAAAAAAAGGAAGAGGAATCTATAATGATAATCAATTCCTATTACCAAAAAAAATACAATTATGAACTATTACACAATAGTTGTGGCTATCATAACAAAAAAAAAATAGAGAAGAGGGAAAGGCAACTAATGAAAAGTAGCTTTCCCTTTTACCATTATTTTATTTTTCATAAAGGAAGTGTTAATGTTAATTCAATTTAGAATTTTAGTTTATTAAAATGGATTTTATATAACGTATGAAACATACTTGCAAAGAAACTTACAAGCACACATTATCAGCTACTGTTCTTCGTATAATAAGTGTGTATTTCAATACAAAAATGTGAATTTTGTTTCCTTGAAACTTATAAGATTGAAAAGCGACGTTAACGAGAGTATATAGAGGATATATTTCTTAATTTATATGGAATAAAATGGAAATAAAATGATTGAAAAGTTACAAGCATAATGCAAAAGTTTGGTCGAATATTTCATTGTTGCTTTGAAATTAAAATGTAAATGTCATTATAAAAGTCGGGCAAGGAGTTTGAAAGTTGAAACCTTTGCCAAAAGATGAATTATTGTTGTTGCAAAAGAAAATGGCAATTGATACGAAGTCAAAATTACAATCTTAAGTATCTTTTATTAATAATAAGTGTGATTGTAAAAAATGATACTGAAATAGATATCACACCATAGATCTAACAGCTTTTGGGGTACAATTAATCGTCACCTTTTCTATATTAATATAAAATGCTATTAAAAAAAGGAACGATGAGTTTTATGATTTTATGTATATATAATTTCAGGCGAATATTGTATTATATAAAATCATAAGTCATAAAATAAAAAGTTCTCCAAAGTTTTTGCTCGAGCATATATATTTCATTAAGATCACAGGCATATGCGTATATATCTCTACATAGGACATAAAAATGAATGAGAAATTTGGAAATAGTGCCAAATGTCGATCATCATCAATTTCTATAAAGAGAAAAGGTGGGGTTTAGCTAAATATGCAAAAATCTTAATACAAACAAAAGATGGTCTGATCTGATCCCATTTAACATGTTTCCGGTGAGGCCCTTTTCTTTTACTTTGCATGTTATCATTCTCTGGTGTCCAAGCCAATGACAACATCTCCACCACCTTAATCTCTCTCTCTCTCTCTCTCTCTCTCTCTCTCTCGAAAGGTTTCGGAGTTTTGATCCGAGGGTGAGGGATAAACACTTTCAGGTGAGGTGAAACCTGCAACTGAGAAATACCCATTAACCAGTTTCTTCGTTTTTCACCATTTGAATGTGAAATCTTTCTTTTTTACATATAAAGTTTTGTTTTTTACCTCTTCTCTTTGGGTGAGTGCGTATGTATGCATTGCATGTAAGCATCTCTCTTGGGTTTCTTTTCCTCTCTGGAAAAATCTTTGCTTTGGGATTAAGCTGGGATCTTTCCTGTTGTGAGTTATCCGATGAGAATCCCAGATTTTTTTTTTTTTTGAAAAAAAAGAAGAATCAAATCTCTGTTTCTGGGTGTTTCCTAAATCCTAGGGATTTGCCTTTGGTTTGGTTTATCGTTAGACTGTGTTTAATCAACTAATCTAGTTATGTTATTACTATTATTACTGTCATTATTGCATAACATGAGTGCACGGATTTTCGAAATAAACCCTTTGTTTCACATGTTTAATGCTCAATTTTGAAAATGATTCCATCTGTGTTGGTATCACTTCACAGCCGGTCGGTCCACTCTATGATATTAATGGTTTATAAAGCTGTTTGCTTTTCTCCGTGAATAATATTACTAGACTTTGCCCCTTTTCACTTTCCTCTGTTTTCTTCTTTTTCAGAATCCAGGCATTGACTTTGCTCCGGTGATACCTGCGAATCTCCGGCGACGGCGGTGGCCGGGAAAACGATGCGAAGCCGGCAATGGTCTGTACGGAAGACGATCTTTCAAACTGGAGAAATTTCCCAAAAGGACTTAGGGTTCTTCTTCTCGACACGGAGGCCGACACCACCTCCAAGCTCCAATCCATGGATTATATCGGTGAGGCAGAGATCTCCACTCCTTCTATTCCTTTTTTTTTTTTGGTTAAATTATTATAAGGTTCATATTAAAAGAATATAATCATATATATATAATAATAATAAATATATGATGTCAAGATATGCGATTCCTTTTCAAGTACATTCAGTTCTTACATCTCTGGTGAAGAATCAGTCTCTGCGGAAGATCTTTGTTCTATTATATATAAACAGCCCAATATATGTAATATAATGTCTCTGTTCATACGCACACTCGCATATACATATATGCTTGTATAGATCTGCGTATAATTTTCCTTTCATCAGTCGCCATTTAGATAAATATGGTTCCTTCCGCAATGTTCACTGAAAGTCCCCAGTCGAAAATAAAATACACTGATTTCTACTTTTGTATGTATGTATGTATGTATGTATGTATGTATGTATGTATGTATGTATGTATGTATGTATGTATGTATGTATGTATGTATGTATGTATGTATGTATGTATGTATGTATGTATGTATGTATGTATGTATGTATGTATGTATGTATGGTCTGACAGAATTTTCCATTGTTCCAATTAGCTGTAGAATTCATATACATGTGGAAATCTGATCATTTTACTTGGCCTGCATTTTGGAACTTCACCAGTTTCTGACCGGAATCCTAAGTTATAGCCGTAAACAAAGTTCGGTAACTTCGTCTTCTTCGCCACCATCAAGGTTGAGCATTCGATTCTTTGTTTTTTGTTGCAGTCACGAACTTCGCAGATGAAAGTGAAGCTCTCTCAGCCTATTCCAAGAGACCCGAGAGTTTCCACATCGCCATCGTTGAGGTAAAAGAGCCGTCTTTCCCTGGGAAAATTGATCTTGAATCTGACATTCTTGCACGTGATTTACGGTTTTCATAACGTCTGGTGATTTACTAGGTGAATGCAAGCGATAAGAACAAAAGTTTCGAGTTTTTAGAAGCTGCCAAGGACCTTCCGACTATAAGTAAGCCTCTGAATTCGGTCCGACATTCGTATATAGTAAACAGGGAATCCTTGCTGTGTTGATGAAAACGGAAAACGTGAATTTGTTGTCTTTTACAGTGACTTCGAGAGATCACTGCCTAACTACGATGATGAAATGCATAGCGGTAAGAGACCGACCATTAGACTGTCGACCGGATCTTCTTCCAGTCGCTTCTTTTTAAGTATTGTACATATGTGACGAGGAAATGACGAGTCTTTTTCAGCTCGGTGCAGTCGAGTTCCTTCATAAACCGCTCTCCGAGGACAGACTAGAGAATATTTGGCAGCACGTCGTTCATAGGGTCCGTGTGTTTTAGGATTCCAAATTCACTCTCTTGATTGCGTTCATTCTGACATAATCTTTGACGGGACTTTTATCGTTTCTGTTGGTTTCGGTTAGGCATTCAATGATGGGAGAAGTAATGTTTCGGGATCGCTCAAGCCCGTGAAAGAATCTGTTGTGTCGATGCTTCATCTTGAGTTGGGGAAACAAGAAGAGAACGACGATGATATGAGGACGGATGAGAAAGATCCGGCTCCCTCTACCCCGCAGCCGAAACAAGGCTCATCGAGGTTAGTAGACGACGGGGATTGCCAAGAAAACGTGAACTGTTCGATGGAGGAGAACGTGAATTCATCGAACGAGAAGGAAAATACGGAAGATCGGGATATCGGGGAGTCCAAATCTGTCGAAACTACAAACCGAGCGTCTGATGGTAATAATGTGGCTGTCAAAGAAGAAGGAGAAGGCGAAACGGATGACGTGAAGGGCCAGAGACAGGACACTGATCCTGCTCATTGTCTGAATCAAGATGACAACAACAACAACAAAGACTGTCGTAAATCGGGTCATCTGACTAATGATAAGCCATCCGGAGTCAAGAATGTGTCGGGGAACAAATCTAACAGAAAGAAGGTTACAATGTCATCACTATCTCGTCTTTTTTATCTAGGGTTTGGTGATTAAAGCGGTGATAATGGATCTCATTACAGGTGGATTGGACGCCGGAGCTTCACAAGAAATTCGTGAAGGCGGTGGAGCAGCTGGGAGTGGAGCAGGCGATACCGTCGAGGATACTGGACTTGATGAAAGTCGAAGGGTTAACCCGACACAATGTGGCCAGTCATCTCCAGGTTGGTCGGTGATTTGATTATTCCCCCCTTATCCGAAACGCAATAATTGAAGTATATATTATATGCAGAAATTCAGGATGCACAGGAGAAATATCCTGCCGAAGGAGGATCATGACCACCACCACCACCACCACCGGAGATGGATACAACCAAGAGGTCATAATCATCATCTCAAGATTCAGACCAGATATGGGGGTTTATCGAACCGTCACGTGATGGCGTACCCGGCGCCACCAATGTATCACGTGTGGGCTCATCCCACGTGGCCGCCCACTTATCCACCACCCGTACTACTTTCTCACTCTTCACCGGTCGCATATTACTAAGCATTACGAAGTTTGGTCTAATGGGTTGGTTAATGGTGTGATTCAGGTGCATGGTCAGGCGTGGGGTTGCCCGGTCGGACCGCCTGCCATCCAACCATGTCATACTTGTCAAGTGAGTCACTTCGTTCCAACATTAACCCGAAATCTTTGCCTTTGATCCCCATTCCAATTCCCCAAAACTCAATTTCGTTTCCATTGCCGCAGAATCTGACCGGACCGCCGCGGCCGCCGAGCTCGTTTAGTGTGCAGCCGGTAATATTTGAATGAATATAACTTGACAGTTTTACCATAATAATAGTAATAGTAATGGGTACGATTGTGGATGGGGATTTTAGGAGGAGGAGGAAGTGATAGACAAGGTGGTGAAGGAAGCAATGAGCAAGCCATGGCTAACGCTGCCACCTAGCCTCCCTCCGCCGATATCGTTTTGGCCGAGCTCTCCCGCCGTGGCATCTCAGCCGTCCCTTCCCCCTGCCTCATCAACGGCTCTCGTCTCTGCTGACGTGTCCTCTCTCCTGTGGATGACGTCATATATTATCCGTATCAACAGTACAGTCTGATTCGGGCGAGTGAGTTGTCACTATTAATTTTTTTTCATGTTTTGTTGACGGCTCTGTATGGAGCCACGTCTGTGGGTGAGGACCTCACGTCGAATCTGCGGCTGTAAATATCTGGGGCGCTCTATTTGAATTGACAATTCGACACGTGTCCCAATAAATAATTAGACTTTTTGTTGTCGTTATAATAATAATAATAATTAAAAGGTTACACATCTCAGTGATTTCGTAACTTCCAATCATTCTTCCGAACATTTTTGACACGTCCAAACGATCCAATGTACAATTTCTTACAAGTTGGGGCCATTTAAAAGCCTAACTGAATAGAGGCCCATAAATAATAATAACTGGCAAGTGATTCATAAATTGCGTATCATCCATGTGTATATGCACACACACATATATATATATATATATACACATTTTTTTTGTTATTTACCTTTTATAAAATCTTCTACAAATATCCAGATTTCTATCATATGAAATAATGGGATTTTTGGATAGAGCAAGACAGCTCAGAAAATGTCATAATAAAAAAAAAAGTAATAATCAAACTGGGTTTATAGTGCAGCTCTTTTGCTGTGTGACAAATTTCACTCGGGCTGGATTGCAATGCTTAGTGCATGTCATTGTCACTGTTCTTATACGTGGCTCCTTTAAATTCATACATATATATATACATATATACACACTATCTTTAAAGTGTATTTGCAGCACTCCAATTGGAGGAATCAATCAGAAATCTTTGTACATGCATTTTCTGTATTTATATGACAAGATAGTGCGATTGTTCGGCCGAGTTAAAGTTAGGAAAAAGATATTAATTATGATGAAAGTGATGATATTAATATTGATTTTTATTCTGAATAAAGAAGAATAAAAAGGATTTATTAATACATATATATATATATATATATATATATATCTCACTGTCATTCTCTCTTCGTTAGCGACAAAAGATATGGCCACTGTCTTGCATGGGTGGGATCTCCAATTTTCTCTTTCCCCTATGGTCCGAATCAAAAGCACGAACATGGATGGACAGAGATATATATTTTAATATGAAATGGAAGAGATTAATTAATTAAATCCAACATCAAAACTCAGAATGCCTCTTTGATCCAATGGCGTGGAAAAAAAGAAATTAAAGATATACAAATTATGAACAAGTTCAATTAAAAACAAAAACCACGGTTAAAAACTTTATTTATTTCCGTTTAAACCCAACCATTTTATCAGTGCAGAAAGGACCCCGAATCTCCTTGCATTTAGTTGTAACTTGTGAGAGAAATGTGAGGATAATAACTTCATATGGTTGTATCTAAGCAAAGATGCAACAAAGTTCTCGTGGTTCATAATTTATTTACCTAAATTCATGATTGCCTTTTTTGAGCTGTAAAGCATTCTTTTAAACGTTTACAAGTTCGATTTTCTTACAACCTTTGGGGCCACACAGAGGGTTCAGCATATTGGGTGATTCTCGTTCACTTGTCTTGACGAGGAGTCAGTTTTCGCACAAACACTTGCGTACATTCCGTACGTAACACATTGGTGGTGCTTTCATTACAACTAATGCGTACACTTTGGTCCATATGTACAGCGTGTACTGACCGTGGGAGTGTTGTGTTAAATTCTCCTACATACATATACATACACTATTGCTTGTATGGTGTACGTGTGTGTATATACATATACACACGATATGTTGAATGATTCTAAAACAAACCCTAATAATGATAATTGAATCGATACAACTTTGTATTCCGATTGAAACAACTATTAACTATTTTGATGATCCAATCGGAATCGGTCGAATGTTATAATTGGTTGAGAAGGGATGGATGTATGATAACGCAAATCTGATGTTTGAATTGGAGTTGGAGAGAAAAGATAAAATTTAATTACAATAAAACTTTCTTCTAACTTAGAGGGGATGTCCTATTAATGCATATCATATAATTTCTAGTGTACAAATAACGACAAATTAAATAAAAACACACTATATATATATATATATATATCATTAGATTTTGTAGCTTCATTTCCCATCCACGCTTTTGTTTGGAAAAAATGATTAAGAATCAAATTCAAGAACCGTCCTATTGCCATATGATGATATCCTTTTTTGTTTGTTACCCTTGGTATTTCTTTCGATGGATTGTTCATTCTGATCAAAGACAAATAAATTACATTAAAAAAAAAAACTGCACTTTTCATAGCTTTTCTTAGAAAAAGAAAAATTGTATTTGTACATCAATTCGTCAATGGAGGATGGGACCAATTCGCAACCTTTACAAGATAAGCCTTGTGGATTTATTGGATTGTCACACAAGCTCATTTGGAATAGTCTGCTCGTGTAACCTAAATGTTATCACTAATAATGCGATTAACGGATATAACATAAAAGAATTGTTTGTGTAATATATAATATGCACATATACGGCCTTTCTAGAAACATATATAGAGGGCGATATCTATCTATGTATCAAAGTCTAGACTAGATTCTATAATTAGAGCTATTGATTTTAGATTAGTATAAAGTTGGTCTTTAAAAGGTTATAAGATCGTATAAAGGATAAATCATTAATGGCGTTGTTTTAAACGTTTCATGATTTGATTGACTGGGATAAGTGTTAGAGAAATAAATGGCTACGCGTTATTAGATTGCGATTAGACGTCTACACTTAAAACGAGTCTATGACTCTTTTTATTTTATTTAAATAAATGGCTATGTCGTTTTTTTCCAATTTTTTTAATAATTAATAGAATTAGACAATTAACTGATTTGATTAGACATGCATTTAAACGACCGTTTAAATGATAAATAGTGGTTTTTTCCATTCGAAAAAAAAATACAAGTAATTTCTATTCCGATCATTATAAAAGTTACAATATTTTAATAGGAATTAAAAAAAACAAATGGGGAATTATGCTTCACAAAGGGTGCGCTTACATCTCTAAGTGGTCCAAAACTTCATACACTGTTAAATTTTTTATTTTTGCCAAGCCGACCTACCAATTGTGTGTACCCAATGTGTTGGATTTGGTACATTTAATTTTAACAACTAAACAGATAAATTAATTAATTAATTTGATGGAAAAAAAACATGATGTAAAATTGATTAATTAATTATTATATTATAATAATATTTTAAAAAAGTCTAATGGGTGATCATACTCATTTCGCCACTGTTTACTTAGAGCTGAATTAATGATGGTGGGGTTTCATAGATATGTGGTAATGACGGTTCAATCAGATTCATTAAATACTTATCTTACGTGTCATTTCCATGCTTGATTGTTGCTCGTCTTCTTTGTTTTTTTACGAATCTCGTAAAAATTATTTGTAACCATTGAAAATAAAATTTTATATACTTCTATATAAGTCCCTGTCCGTAGCATTTTTCGTTTCGAACTTGGGTATCAATATAAATATTTATGACTGTGTCCATCGCGGGTCATAACCATTGATCATGACTTAATTCATCCATAATTACAACGTAATTATCGTAACATATGCATATTTTTAAATAATTTACGGTAACCTTATTAATAAAATTTCTTATGAATTCAAGATAATCAATTTGGTTAATCAAAATAATAAATTAGGCTCAGGTCAGCAAAAGATTTATGATGCCTTTCGGTAGCTCCTCTGTCGCCAATTGTTTGGGGTTCCATCTGGTTGATTTTTTTTATAAGACCCTTTTTATATTTGTATGAGACCATTTTGTTACTGTTACTTTTATATTAAGTTATTTACCTATATTTATATATAAATATATAATCGATTCGAATATAAAGGTAAGACTTTATGCCGTTGTTTTTCAATGCATAATTGGGGTATATGGTATATATATTTAATCATTGGATTACTTTAAATAATGAATGAATTGCTTTCGTTTGCCAACTGCATGGCTGAAAATATTAGCTGGAGCTAAGACTAAATTTTGAAAACTGCAGATTTGTTGATCAAGAAAGTGACGTTTGACTTTCCATATTTTTATTATTTTCCAAAAGAAACGACAGACATATTTTATCACCATTTGATATATATATATATATATATATATATATATATATATATATATATGCTTTTTTCTTTCTT